AAAAAAAAAAGAGAAAGAAATGTTACTCATACCCTTTCTCTATCTGTATAAATATGCATCTCCTCACAGTTTTCTTGATACTCTGACAACACAGTCAAATGAAACACAATTGGTATTAATTGCACAGAAAAGCTTACAAATAGCCACCTAAAACTTTCTGTCTTGTCTCATTGTAACACAAAACTGCTGCGGGTTGATTGTTTTTGTCCAAGACGCAAGATACTCAAAATTAGTTAATGAAAACAACTTTTATCTATTGATATCATGAAATAATAAATATAGCTTGAAACGTATATAATTCACTTTTAAACCAAGGATATACCAATTTGGCATTTCAAAAATTTGTCTGCAAGTCATGAGTTTCATTATATAATGAATTTAAAGTAAATGTAATAGCACATCCCTGGTCAAATAAGAAAAAGTTGAAGTAATAGAATTATTAAAATTTTTGTGTAAGTGAACTGAATAATATGATCTTTAATAACAATTTATCTAAAACCAAGTAGTTTTACTTAAGTCATTTCTTACATACCATGTTTCCCCGAAAATAAGACCTACCCAAAAAATAAGTCCTAGCAGGATTTCTATGCATTTGTTAAATATAAGCCCTACCTCGATGCATTTTGGTGCGGTAAGGAAGACATCCTCTGAAAATAAGCCCCAGTGTGTCTTCTTGAGAAAAAATAAATATAAGACAGTGTCATATTTTAGGGGAAACATGGTACTATAAAATTTTAAAATAGTTAAAATACCTTTCAGGGAGGTTTGCAAAATTTTAACTATTCAAGTCAGAACAGGTTAATCCTTTAAAAAAGCCAGGAAAAGATGGTGCAATAATTACTTGTATTCAGTTTAAAGGGAACCTTGCTGTTCTTGAGTAGATGGCTGATAATTGGATAATATGACCTCTGGTCTGTTTCAGAAGGAAGATTGAAAGCCAAAGGGATAGTCAGCATTTTAGAAGAAAATGTATGAAGCCATTCCTGCCATGCCTTCCCTTGTCCCCCACATAGAAGCATCTCCTGTAATTTCCTATCCTACGTCTTGGTGAAAAAATCAATGATCATCTTAAATTGAAGACTAACCCTAAAGGCATTCTACACATCCCTATACTATTTAACTTCTCTGTATTTATTGAAGATATACATAAAATATTTATACTGTTTTGAAATATCAATTGTAAACCAGTAGCATTTTCCCAATAATATATGGGCATTATTTCTACCATCTTATTTGGTAGGTTTATTCTTTTTCAAGTTCTAACTTTACTATTAATTTATTTTTATTACAGTAAGTAAGTTTACACCAATAATTACATCCAATACAGCAAAAAAAAAATCAAAATGATTTAGATTGGTATCGTTATTTTCCAATATTGATGTTGCTTGGCTATTCCAATTGTTAATTTAAAAATCCAATTGTCATCAGAGTAACTACAATTTAAGAAAACTTCAATAAATGTCTCAAGAAGTATATCAATGGATATGATTTCAGGAAAAAGAAATAATGCAGGAATGAAATATCTTTTACCATGAGTTAATGAAAAACTACAGCAATTCTCAAATTATAACTAGCTTTCCTTTTCAAACGTTAGAAGAACAATTTATTTGTACCAGGAAGTACTTGGTAAAGAACTATGTTTGGCAACTTGGAGAACATTTTTAGCATTTGAATTTCCCTATTTATAGGACAGCATCAGGCAGAGGAAAATGTCTGGCATTTCTATAAGGGATACAAACGCTTTAACATTCACT